AAGGAATACAAATAAATAAGACATTCCGAAGCAGATCGTACTAGATCGTACATTGTGGCGCCATCCACCAGTTGCTACAGCACTCGCTGGATTTTGGGGTACATCGGTATGGTGTGCGAAGGGAATATTACCAAGCTATCTGCGTGGCAAACACAGCAAAATGGCTCCTCCACTATTTTGGCGATGCACAGGATGCATTTTTCTGCTGCTTTTGCATGCATGGAAACGCAGCAGAAAACCTCACTACTTGCTGGCCGCATTTGCGGTGCCTTTAGAAATCAATGGCACAGCAAGTGCGTCTTGGCGCGTTTCCACAGACACATGCCGATCACGCACATCGCCAGTCACCCTCAGAATGTGCAGGTGTTAACCAGGCCTAAGACTAACATTAGACCTTTAACCTCTTGCCGTCCGCCCGTTATGAAAAAACGGACAGACAGCAGACTCACATTGGCGGGTTGCCGTTAACGGCTGTTTGATATACATATGATCGGCGGCTCTATAGCCTGCCGATTGTATGCATGTGCTGTCTTTGCGTGCCCCCCTCGAGTGCTGCCGCTGCCGTCCCCTCCTCCTGACCCCTCACCTTCAATCCCGGGCTCCGCCAGTCCATCTGTGGCTCGGGAGGATATCAGGAGGTAATATGGGAGGGAGGTCCTCCTTGCTGATCTCCCTCCGAGGTCTGAATGCAGAAGTGATGTGCATTATATCACTTCGGCATTCACCTGTCAGTCCTCTGGCTGCTATAGCCAGAGAGAAGAAGCTGATTAAGCAGATCTGTGCTTCATCAGCTTCTTTTGGGGTCCCCAGGTGACATTGGGGTCCCCAGGTGACATTAGGGGTCTTAGAGACCCCTAATGTCTCCATAAAGAGGACCTGTCAGTGTACCTGTGCTATCACATAGGGAGATTGTTATCCCTCATATGTGTTATCCCCCTATGTGATAGCAATAACAATAAGTGTAAAAAAAGTAAAAAAAATAATACAAGTGACATATAAATATTTTTTTTTTAAAACATTTTTAAGTCCCCCACCCCCACATTTACACACATATAAAAAGGTAAATATGCGTTCGATGCGCCAGCGTGCGAAAATGACAATTGCGCTACCCATGTTGCATATCGTCGTGAACGTCGGAGTGAGAGCAATCATTCTAGGGCCGTCAATTACTGATAGCACTAGGATGAGCGGTAAAAGCTTTTAAAGCGTCGCCTTTGACCAATTTTGGGTATTGTAGTGTTTGAGGTTTCCCGCGCATGCGCAATTTTAAGGCTTGACGTGTGTAGTGTCTATTTACCCAACGTGACCCCGTCTTTTATATTTTAGCAAAAAACTGGGTAATAAATGTTTTATCATTTAATTTAGGGGAAACCGTTTTTTTTCTCTTTTTTTTCGGTAATTTTTCCTTAATATATTAAAAAATTTTAAAAATCAAACCCGTAGTGTGAATAAATACCACCAAAAGAAAGCTCTATCTATCCCCAAAAAATGATATAAAAGTTATTTCAGTACAGCGTTGCATGACAGAATAAACGTCAATCAAAATACCGCAGCGCTAAATACTCAAATATGGCTGGGACAGGAAGGGGGGTTAACACCGTGGACATCAAAATGAAACTCCAATAGCAACAGTACTTGTACCACTTACAAATAATAGCAATCCCAGCAATGTCAGTGAAGGGTTAACTTTGACAACTCAAAAAGGTATACTTGCAGTAAGCAGACTTCTGTAATTTCAGACAAGGGATGGTGCTGGAGAGCAGGTCAGTGTGTAGCTCCAAAGGGCAGGAGTCAGGAAGATAGGTAAGTAGATTTTTCTTTTTTTCTTTCAGGATGGAGAGCGGTGAGCCTCGGTAGCCGACCAGAGGGACGTCACTTCGAATTCCGCGGCTAACTACATGCAGTGGAGCCGCCTATGGGGCGGATACAAGTGACGTCGTGGGACCTGTGCACCCTGCTGCTTGTGCGATGCGGCCAGCCCAGTCAGAGCGGCGGAGGGAGATGCTATTTTCTCGGGGGAGGGGGAACTGGGCAATTTCCAGCACTCCCCTCCTGAGAAAATGGTCTCTCCCTCCGCCGCTCTGACTTGTGCATCACACAAGCAGCAGAGTCGAACTGAAGCAGCAGGGTGACGTCACCCCGATCCGCCACTGTTAGCGGGGGGCACACGGGGGGGCAAGGAAGAACCTAGGGGGGGGCAATTGCCCCCCCTTGCCACCCTGTAGCGACGCCACTGGTTACCGGTGTCTCCTGCATAAATTATTATTATTACATTTTTATCCCAAACAAACACTCTCGGTGATGCATTTCCTGCATAATAAAATATACCTTGAAACTAATTTTAAAAAGTGTGCTTTATCACTTGGCACTAACTTCATGCATTTGCAAACTATGCTACATTTACTACAAAGTCTTGTGGTAACCCGTCAAAGACACCTCTGCTACCCAATTTCGGTCCTTAGTCATAGTTTAGGGAACACTGGTTTTCAAGAAAAAAATTTCCTTTTTATAACCCATACTCCCAAGGCAATATAGATCTCTGAGGATCCATGCCCTGTTTATTTTGACTTGGAAAGAGTTAATGATCTTATTAATCAAAAAGACTGTGCATACAGTAGCAAAACTATATAAGGCATGCAAACTGTCAAATAATACCAATGAATTACTTATCGTTTAGTTCTGCTGACAGAGTTGCATCCCCTGTACATGAAGACTTGGTTAGCACCCTGTAATATTTATATGGACAATTACATTGTCTAATTTAGTCTTACACACTGAAAATTGTAACACAGTGTATATATTATTAGAATCATTTTGAAAGTTTATCTAACCAGTTATTTCTAGTATCTCAATTTCATTCAATTTTTGGAGATATGGTTAACTCCATTTAACTCTTGGAATCTGATCCAAGATTTTGTGAGAACATTACCAACACCCTTGAAATTGGTCGATGACCTGAACCCACTTGAATGATTATATTTCAACAAAACCGACCAAACTCACTGTTGTGCAGTTTTCTATTCTTTAATGTAGTAGTTAACAGAACTTGAGGAAACAAGAAAAAGGGGTATGTTATTGGAATATTTATATACATTAAGGGTGTAAATAAGGTTTAGGAGGGCAGTATTTTTAATATTAAGTTCAGTGTCATGAAGGTTACGTGAACTCATACGTGAGCAAGTGATGTGGGATTCCCTAGGGTTCACCCAGCTCAAACGTGTGTAGAGAATAACCCACACCAGTCAGAGGGGAGATGAAGAAGAACACAGAGATGTGGTAGAGAAAACCAGAAAGGATTGGTACACGGGAAGCTGGTTCAAGGTAATACATGTGCAAAGTAAGGGAGCTCAAAGACAAACTGAAGATTGATTGGATGCTGGAACTTACAAATACCAAAAGAGTAGTTAATGCTTGGAATAGGCTTCCAGCAGAGGTAGTGCGCAAGTCAACAGTAAAGTCAACAGTAAGTGAATTTAAACATGCTTGGGACAAACATAGATCTTTATTAAGGCACAAAAGTAAAAAAAAAAAAAAAAGTCAAATAAAAAGGGACAAACCCTATGCACCACTTTTTTTGCCATTACTTTTATTTATTTATTTTTCTATGTTTCTAAATTGAACCACCAAGTTATCTAATTTAGCGGGAGGGAGAATTTGCTGTCATTACTACCAAAAGCAAAAAAAGAAAAAACCTCTAGCCCATGTATCCTTAATAGGCATGGCTATGAGGTAAATAAACTGCTTTTGAGATAGTATAGAATCTTTAAAAAAATACACTCCTCAATGTTCGGAGAACTACTAGAAAGGGTGTCAAAAACGTGGCTCATAAGGTCCACATAGGGTGGACATAACCAGTGGTGCAGGAATTTTGGGGAAAAGTCCTTAACAACTTGAAGTCCGCGGTGTTAAACCCCCTTCCTGTCCAGGCCATTTTTCAGTATTCAGCGATGCGGCACTTTGACTGACATTTATTTTGTCATGCAACGCTGTACTGAAATTAATTTTATACCATTTTTTGGGGACAGCTAGAGCTTTCTTTTGGTGGTATTTAATCACCACTGGGGTTTTTATTTTTTACTATAGTAAGGAAAACTATTTCCCCTATATAAAATGATAAAACATTTATTATTACCCAAATTATTGGTAAAATATAAAAGACGGGGTCACGTCGGGTAATAAGACACCAAACATGTCAAGCCTTAAAATTGCGCGCGGCCACGAAACCTCAAACTACAATACCGATAATTGGCCATAGGCGATGCTTTAAAAGCGATTGATGGTCCTAAAATTATTGCTCTCCAACGTTTGCGGCGATGTTTATGCACGCTGGCGCATCTGATGTGTATTTACGTTTATACGTGGGGGACTTTGGTTTTGGGGTTTTTTTTAAACTTTTTTTAAATGTGACTTTTATTTTTTTTCACTTAATGTTATTGCTATTACATAGGGGATAACAATCCCCCTATATAATAGCAAAGCCGGTCCCGGGCTGCAGATGGGGCAGCGGATTCCGGGATTGAAGGTGAGGGTGCAGGAGAGGGGGCGGCGGCGGGACAGCGATGGCGGCACATACAAGCGTACAGACAAGATGAAAGATGATTTCTAAAATCCTAGGAATGGGAGGTTTTTCCAAATAAAGGACAAATAAATGAATGTATTTAAATGCATTTTTTTAGCTGTGCTGTTTTTCTTAAAAAAACACTACAAATCAAAACTGGGGGAAATTTTTTTTTTTTTTTCATATTTTACTCGTCCTAAGAGCGGTGTTAGGTACACATCTGTGATATAATATATAGCTCTATCTGTCCTCCAAAAAATAATATGTGTAGGTGCAAAAAGTGTATTACTGACGTGAAAGAATCGCACAGCAAAAATTTGAAAAGTGTGTCAGTGAACAGGAACTAAAACAAGCTCAGTCATGAAGGGGTTAATATCTGCTACAATGTACATGTAGTGCATTGCATATATTCTCTCACATTCATTTTGTTTTTGCTTTATAGGTCTGTACTGCTGTGACAGAGCTGAGGATCATGCTTGTCAAACAGCTTGCAAAAGAATTCTAATGACTAAAAGAACAGAAATTGAGATTGTTGATAACTTAATCGCAGCTTGTAAAACCATGCCTCTGCCACAGGATCCATTATGGCAATGCTTTCTAGAGAGTTCAAGGTCAGCTTATCCTGGCGTCACAATTGCTCCTCCACCCTCTACTGGAGTTGATGGAGCTAAACTGCATTGTTGTTCAAAAGCAAATTCATCAAAATGTAGGTAAGTGATAACAATTTGAATTTATGCAGGCTCATTGTGAAAAATTGTATGAATAAATTCAACGTTCTGTATATATGTATATTAGGGCTTAGGGTAGCCATACACACTGGGGGAGTTATCAAAACTGGAGCAGACAAAATCTGGAGCACATTTGCACTGCAACCAATCAGCTTCTCTGTCAAATCTTACCTGAGCAAACTGAAGAGAGAGGCTGATTGGTTGCCATGGGCAACAGCTCCAGATTCTGTCTGCTCCAGTTTTGATACATTCCCCCCAGTGTGTTTTGCCTACTAGGATTATGACCAGTTAGAGCAAGGGTAATCATGCCGTCATTGAAATGTGAATCTATTTTGCTGACTGCAACTCAAAGCTCATCACTCCACATTTCAATGTGGAGTGATGAGCTTTGAGTTGTAGTCAGCAAAACAGATTTTTCCACATGTTGAACCTTGATTATTGTCATCTAATCAGTCTGATGAGGTTAACCCTGAGTTGTCCCCCTGTAACACTGGCAAAGCAAATAAGAGTAATGAATCAATGAACTCACAATATTGCGAAGGATCTCAACTGCGGATTAGCAGCGTTCTTCCCTTATAATGGGCGATAAGCAGTTATCTTCAAAGTTAGTTTAATGCTGTTGTAAATGAAAGTGTATGTAACTGTATTCCCTTATACAGACACGATTAACATATATCCATATTTTAGCAGAGTATGAGAAAGTATTAGAAGTATTAGAAGGGTTCCTCCCATATAATATGTGGTAAGCAATTATCTTCGAAAGTAGTTCAAACGGTTGTAACTAAAAGTCCTATGCATCTATATTCCGTCATACAGACATCATTAGCGTAAAACCGTATGTTAGATTATTCAGATGATATTTGCGGTTAGTTGCACGGTGTGCTTCTCATGGTGACAGCTGATAGCTGTAGATCAGGATTCTGAATCAGATCCCTTGAAGCAGAAACAGTTCAGGAAAGGGTCTATTGGTGAGAGGTGTCCTGTGCCTTTAAGGATATAAGATCAGTCTGCAGTGTGGAGGGTTAAGCAGTCCTGTAAGTCTTGCGATGGTTGTAAGGTGTGTGCCCAGCCTTAGATGAACACAGGAGGATGGTAGAGATGAATGCTGAGTCAATCCGTATAGCAGAGAGAGAGAGAGAGAGAAACAGCTGTCAGCTGCTCAGGTGAGGATGATTAGTGCATATGGATCTGTCTGCAGCAAAGGAGAGTATACACAGGATCAGAAAAAAACTAAGTTATACCCAGAGTCCAAACCCAATAATAGTAAATTAACCCTGATCGCGGGTGAGAACTACTTGAACTATTGGCTTTCAAACGAACCTCGACTATGTATAACTTATACAAAAGGACATGAACTGATCAAGAGGGATCAGATCAAAAGGCAATACAATGAGGATCGGAATGCCATGTTTGAGTATAATAATATAAAGTTTATCACAATGCAATAAAAAATATTGGGTCACTATACTACACCTTCTATCCATCACCAGGTAACCCTACTCCAAACTCATTTAAAAATTGGTCAAGCAATCAGTACACTCATTCCAATACCATGCACACTGAGGCCAGCTGCTCAATCTTGTGGTACCGGTACAGCTCAAAATAAGAGCAAAAAACAGCGCTGAAGATATAAATCCAGAATGTGTTACTCAAATAAGAAATAATGTATCAATAGGTTATAAGGAGATTGCTGTTTCTTAGAACTCAGCCGCTGATGTTTAAACTCATAAAGTCGAAAACGAAGCATAGAGTTGGTGGTAAATAATTGTTTCATTTGCGGCCGCCTCTGTAAGTATGATGCAAGTTCAAAGAATACCAATTACCTCATCAGGCACTGGTGTCTTGTGGATATAGTCCTTCCAAACTGGGTACGGGGTGTCACCCGGGGTTTAGACACCCATAGGAGGATTATTCAGACATACAGTGTATGAATCCAATAAAGTAAAGATACTTACAGGTGCCATACTAGTCCCAGTTGGTGTGGCTCTATGGAACCGGGAGCTTCACCACTTCTTACCTTGGATAGCTATTATTCCCGGAGAAGACTTCTTTTCTGCATCCAAGATTTGTTGTCAATCTTCCTTGTAATCCAAGATGGTCTCAGTGATTTGCAAATTGCAATCTGCTCTGCTCACAAACAGCGCGGTTTGAATTATTTTCACCGGAATGGTTTAACCTGACATGCAGGTGGAATCACAGCTTGAATTTTTTTGACCGGAATGGTTTAACCTGACATGCAGGTTTTCAAATTGCAATCTGCTCTGCTCACAAACAGCGCTGTTTGAATTTTTTTTGACCGGAATGGTTTAACCTGACATGCAGGTGGAATCACAGCAAGCTGTGATTCCACCTGCATGTCAGGTTAAACCATTCCGGTGAAAAAAATTCAAGCTGTGATTCCACCTGCATGTCAGGTTAAACCATTCCGGTCAAAAAAATTCAAACAGCGCTGAGCAGCTGGCAAGATTGAGCAGCTGGCCTCAGTGTGCATGGTATTGGAATGAGTGTACTGATTGCTTGACCAATTTTTAAATGAGTTTGGAGTAGGGTTACCTGGTGATGGATAGAAGGTGTGTAGTATAGTGACCCAATATTTTTTATTGCATTGTAATAAACTTTATATTTTTATACTTAAACACGGCATTCCGATCCTCATTGTACTGCCTTTTGATCTGATCCTTCTTGATCAGTTCATGTCCTTTTGTATACACAGGATCAGCTGGGAAGCTTCTGGGAATGAAAGATGCTAGTAAAAGGTGCCCATACACCTTACAATTTATCTGCAGATTTTCTCTGGTCAGATGGAAAAAGTGCAACAGATTGGCCCAGGTGGAGATTACTCCATCCACACAGTTAAGTGTAGATGGAGGAATCTGTTGCACCTTTTCCATATGACCACAGAATATCTGCAGATAAATTGTATGGTGTGTGAGCAGCTCAAGGCAGCCAGCGTCTGACAGAGTGAGGATGGCTGAGGAGAGCAGCAGCACTTGTCAGCCCAGGAAAGGAAGACTTCAGTAGGGGTGTGGAGCGGTCACAGGACGAGGTGGCGGTAAGTATCGCACGGCGTCCACACATTGAACTGACACCAAGCAATTGATTCTGGCCCCTAAGCCAGGTATGAGGAAGGACCGTGATGACGCCTCATGTGAGGGGGCGGAGCCACGGACAGAGACTGGAGCGAAGGAAAGGTGAGTATGTTACAGCACTAAAACTAGAGACAGCCATCCGACTTGTATTTTTGGTGGAAGTTCAGCCTACATATATTTCTCATTACAGCTTTGCTTTAAAGAGGTTTTAAAGGTCATTATTAATTCATCTATTGTAAAAAGAAAAATTAAGCAATAAATGCAGTAGGATAAAAGGTAGCAGATTTGCCCCACAGACAATGCCCCATAAAAGTGGAATTGGGCCGCTATGCCCAATAACTATGAATGGCATCCACCATATTGAGGATGGTTATCAAATATGTTTCTTTACAATTACCTAAAATAAGTCCTTCCTGTATGGCATAACAGGTATCAAGGCAATTGAAAGCATTAGTAGCTGCCATATTTTTGGTGTTACCAATTAAAGTCTATGAGTTTTGGAACATTTTTTTGATATACATAAACCACTTCCCATGTTTTATTAGGATATTGTTTTTAGCGCTGAGCATTTTGTATATAATATTTTTGGAAAGGCTACCTGTGGGTTTTTTGCACAGCTGCTGTGGATAATTAAAAAAAATATGTTTAATAAAAACAATTATAAGAAAATATAGTGCTGAGGAGGCTATTAAAGATAGGAGAAAAACATACCACATTCTAAAATTGTTCCACACTAAAATTGTATTTCACTCCTTATATTTCGTGACATATAAATCCCAAAATAAACTGAAATCCCAGACGTATGATATACCCTATACATCAGGACAAAAAAATATAATTAATTATGAATTACTTTATGTTAGCTACACTTATTTTGCACACATTCTTATTGCCAAAGCTGTTAAAAATGTCTTTGTTTTTTTTCATTCTCTTTGCAATGCAAAAAAATAAGAATTTATATATGCATATGTCACATCAAATTAAAGCCCATTTTGTCCTTTAAAAAACCGTATGAATATGTGTAGGTGTAATTAGGGATGCGCGATATATCGGCCGCCGAAACAGATCGTCCGAAAATAGCACTTCGTTTCGGTTTTGAAATTTTCATTTCGAGCACCTCTAGGTGGTAATGCATGAGGAAGATGGAAATGATGGTTAAACAAGCACATAGCAAAAATGACAAAATTGCTCCGGTCCCCAGAAGCAAAATAATTATTCGGATTTGCTGTGTAATTCCCTACTGGATATGCAATCAAAATATTTCCCTATAAATCCAATTGGATTCACCCATCAGTTTCTGCCAACATTTCTTTATTATGTATTGATAAGGTTGTATGATTATATGGATTCCAATAAGTCCCCTCCCCCCACAGAAGTAAACAATCAGTTTACTAATAGAACATTATCTACTACCATAATAAATCAGCCTTCGTAAAAATGTCATATATCCAAATGACAGTTTAACACAGGGGTAGCCAAACTCCGGCCCTCCAGCTGTGGTGAAACTACAAATCCCATGATGCATCTCTCTCCGGGAATCATGCCTGTGGCTGTGAGAATCTTGCAATGCCTCATGGGATTTGTAGTTCCACCACAGCTGGGAGGGCCAGAGTTTGGCTACCCCTGGTTTAACACTTTGAGGCAGTTGTTGTGCATGGCTTTATTTAACATGAATAATATACATACAGATGTGTGTGAAAAATTAATAAATATATGGGTTACAAGAGCTACAGGGTAGTCTTTGACATCACCATGCACATAAATCACCCCCACATATTCTTTAGGGATCAGCTTTCCCTGCAGTTTGTCTGTTCTAAGCAGGGTTACGACACTTCCAGAGTCAAGGAGGGCAACAACCTCCCTCCCATTAACGTGCACCACTCCCTCATGCGGTTTTTTGATGGTGGACACACAAGCTGCTTAGGCATACAGGGAGCGGCTCCGGCTCACGTCCCACTCCATTGGCTCCTCTCGCTTTGGACACTGGGCCGCCAGATAACCCAGTTGATGGCAGCTCCAACAACGCATGCACGGGGTCCTCTTTCCAGGGGCAAGTTCCCGGGGGGGTTACATGCCGCGCTGCCTTTATTATGAATAGCCCGCACCCGAGCACAGTGTGTATGTCTGTGGACATCCTTGTCCCAGGGCGCGCCTCTCTGATTGGTGCAGGTTCCCCAGACAAACCCCCAGCACAGGTGTATCGCTTTACTGCTGTAGCCATCTCATCCAGGGTTTGGGGTTCTGTCTGGGTCACCCAACGATACAGTCCCTTGGGGAGGCCATGCACAAAGCGGTCCAGGGCAACCCGCTCCACGAGCTGCTGTGGGGAAAGTTTCTCCGGCTGTAACCAGTCCTTCAGGAGGTGCAGCAGGGCAAACAACTGTGCGCGGGCAGGCTTGGCCTGGTCATAGCGCCAGGCATGGACCCGGCTTGCCCTTAAAGTAACAGTCACCCCCATTCTGGCCAAAATCTCTGCTTTCAACTGCGTGTAAACGCATGCGGTTTCAGGGGCCAGATCAAAATATGCTTGCTGGGACTCACCCATTAAGAAAGGGGCCAGTACATCTGCCCAGTCCACCTCAGGCAGTCCTTCACGTGTGGCCATTAACTCAAATAGGGAAAGATAAGGCTCCACATTGTCTGTCATTAGAATTCCAACACAAATCAATGTGTTTCAGGAGGTGGTCTTACATTTCAATGTAAATGCCTACAATATAAAGCACCTCAGAAAAACTAGCGCTGGCTGTACAGAAAAAGAAGCAAATTTAATTGCTTATCACCCAATACTCTATAAAGCTCTCTACCCAATTACTGTCTGTAGAGTTCATTCTGCACTCTAGAGACAATTTTGTCCTAGGTATTGTCTAGGAATTGCCAGCTATACAAGCATTAGTCCTTAGATCTGTTAATTTAATAAAATTCAGAAGAAAAAACTGAAGATATATTGGAAAACATTTTATGCATAGATTCATAGTGGACAATTACACAATTGAAAAAGAAAAGATTGTCGTTCAAAATTAATTTGTTTGCTTTAACAATATTTATAATTTCAGGGAGCTGTGTACAAAATTATACAGCACCAGCTGGGGAAATACTCAGAACTGGCAAAAGTTCGATAATGAATGTGAATACAGCCCATCAGAGTCACCAATGCTAACATGCCTAGCAGATGTAAGAGAACCATGTCAACTGGGGTGCCGGAACCTTACTTATTGTACCAACTTTAATAACCGGTAAACCTTTTTAGCTTGATTTTAATATTTTTTTAACAATTTACATTGTACGCATTTTTACAAATGTTAAAAATGCTTCTTGTTTACATTTTATAGACCAAAGGACAGTTTATTTATTTTACAAAACATACTGTAAAGCTGGTATGACATATTACATTTAACTTGCTATAGTAAAGAATAATTTATGCTACTATTTGGTCTACTCTTTCTTGAAAGGTAACTGGTTAAGCAGCTACTATTCATAGTGACTTTATGTGAAACTTAGAGTTTGCAGAGTGAAAGGATAGGTTTTTTTCCCACTGGAAAAAAGGTTGAAAGCTGCTTATAAAAAGTTTTCATAAATGCAGGAAAATAGAATTTGAAAATAAGGAATGAACTTGATTCCATACTCCACAGTTCTCATGGTCATTCAAATATTACATAATTCTATAATATGTACACAAATTGTGAATTACCAAAACCAATGATCATTTGGGACACTTCTCTTTCGAAAGTGTGAGGCTGCACACAAAATATTGTTTGGTTTTTGTATTGATATTTTGGCTGCATAATATAGATTCAGGTGAGTTTATTCCTACTTTTTAAATACTGAAATTAACTAATTCATGTGTAATATGTTTCTGTGCACCCATGCCTGGTCACATGAGATATGCAGAAAGGTGACGATCAGTTAGTCTAAATCCCCAGCACATTTGGAAAGTAAGTGGGCACAGTTCTTTTGATTTTCATGCTTGAAGTATTTTGCTTAAATTATTATTATTTTTTTTTCATAAGCACATATTTTGAATAATTATTGCAGTGTTCACCTCAAAAGTAGGGATGCACTGATACTAGTATCGATATTGGTGCCAATACTGGGAATTTGCCCTGATACTAAGGGGGTGATTTACTAACCTAAACACACGCACGCACTAGGTGTGTGTGATTTTTACACAGCAAAACGTATTTATCAACCAAAAAGTCTCTAAAAGCATATTTCCACTAATGCCATATATGGAAAAATCATGCACATGATGCATATATAATGCTGCTTCACAGTTTAGACAAAAATGGTTAGCTCATGCATTTACATTCCTGCATTCATCAACGCAAGCAACACAACATAGAGCTAATTTACACAACATCACCTTGCAAATTCATTCAGGGCTTTGCACAACACACCTGCTGGGTGTGTACACACTACAAAGGTGTTTAGATTCCACCTATAGATCATGCTGGGAGGGAACACACTACAGAGGTGTATACATGTTCGTGGTGTGTTTATAAGGTTAGTAAATCAACCCCTAAGCGTCAATACTGGCGCTTTGAATTTTTAAATAGATTTGGCGGCCTGAGGTCCAGCCCATACTGGGGACCTCAGACAGCCTTATGGGGATCTCGCCGCAGTTGTCTTTAACAGCGCCGGTCCGGCCGCACATCATCTTCTCCTCCTTAATACTGCCTGCAGAGACCGGCACAGCCCTGAACAGCCCCACACTTGCCGATACAGCCCTGGAGAGACCCACATGCAGCCCTGGAGAGACTTGCATGCAGCCCTGGTGACACCTGAATGCAGCCCTGGTGAGAGCCACATGTAGTCATGGTGAGACCCGAACGCAGCCTTAGTGAGACCAAAATGCGCCACTGGTGAGACCTGCTTGCAGCACTGGTGAGACCGCACACAGCCCTAGTGAGACCGCAGAGCCCTGGTAAGACCCTAGAAACCTGGTCAGACCGCACAGCCCTGTTCAGACCCCGCACAGCCTCTTGAGACGCCGAACAACCTGGTGAGCAACACAGAGTATGTAGCTTCATATTATTCTGCATTGCTGTATGATGTACTTCTGGTATTTGTAGTCCTCTAGAGTTGGTGGTATTCTGCCTTGCTGTATAATGTATTGCTGGGATTTGTAGTCCCTATACAGCTTGGTGTCAGTGGAGGAACAACCTTCGGTTACAGCTGTGACTTGGCCCTTGTGCTCCACCACTGTCCTAAAATCATTAGTCTGTATTGTATTAGAAAAAATGTCACATGTAACTTTTAAAAAAATGTATCGGTTTATTGAACAGAAAAAACATGTATCGGTAATTGATATTGGTGAGTACTTAGGGAACAGTAATTTTACTTGGTCTTGATAAATTCTTATTGGTGCATCTTTACCTTACCTTATAACTCCAGACCAACACCTTTTTTTAGTTGATGAATAGAGTGGTGGAAAGGTTACTGCTCATAAAATCTAGTGATTATCAATCTTCATTTTGGCCTACTTAGTATATATTATGGCAGCATGGAGGAATACTCTTAGATCTAATAACTTCACGCTCGGCTCCTACTACAGCAGCAAGCACTATTCCAGTTGTAATTACTAGACTTTACGATTAATATTATGTCTGTGCCACAATAAAAAATAAACAAAAAATACAGTACTTGTATATAAAACAAAATGTTCGTGCCAGTTCCACACAACAGCAAATTTCTTTCAAATAGTGAAAGGATAATGAAACAAACAGATGAAAAGTCCACATCGGTCAAATTGTCCAATAGTGTAGATTAGAAAATTATGTTCACCAAAATCATTTATAAAATTCTAGTGTCCAGTAATTCAAGTAAACAAGTGGGTGTAATCCTCCGTACTTCCTGTGACCTCCACCGTACACTCCCTTAAGAATAACGCTCACCTCATAGTGTGACCTTTTATTACTAAGGTCTCAACACGTCAATCCCCTTTGATCACGGGTGGGAAGAAAACCCAATGCCTTTTTGTTGTACAATTATTTTATTGCAACAGAACATAATTA